AAAACCAACCTTTAAGTATGTCGATTTTATCTACTGTTTTTCTATTCTCTATTTCACTTATTTCTTCTCTAATATTTATTATTTCCTTTCTTTGGGTTCAGGTTGCTGAGAGCTTTTTTCCCTAGTTTCTTCCAGTGGAAGTTTAGCTGCTTGACTTGAGATTTTTTAAATATTTGTGTGCTGAGTGCAGTGGCTCATGCCTGTAATCCTAGCACTTTGGGAGGCTGCGGTGGGAGGATTACTTGAGCCCGGGAGTTCAAGGCCAGGTGGGGCAACATATTGAGACCTCATCTCTACAAAAAAATTTAAAAATTAGCTGTGCATGGTGGCACATGCCTGTAGTCACAGCTACTCAGGTGGCTAAGGCAGGAGGATCTCTTGAGGCCGTGAGGCCGGGGCTGCAGTGAGCCATGATTGTGCCACTGCACTCCAGCCTGGGAAAGAGAGTGAAACCCTGTCTTGGAAAATGAAAAATAAAAAAACAAAATGTTTGTGGCCAGATGCAATGGTGTGTACCTATAATCCCAGTACTTTGGGAGACCAAGGAAGGAGGATTGCTTGAGGCCAGGAGTTGGAGACCAGCCTGGGGAAGATAGTGAGACCCTATCTCTAGAAATTTTTTTTACAGTTAGTCGAGTATGTTGGTGCACACTTGTGGTCTCAGCCTCATCTTAATTATATAAGGTTGTAGTTCAGATTAATACCAACTTTGTTTCAATAGTATATAAAAACTTTGCTTCTCTAAAGTTGCATTCTCACCCCCTCCTTTATCCTGTTATTGTCACACATTACATCTTTATACACTTTATGTTCATCAACTAGATTTATAATTATTGCGTTTATAACTATTGCATGCAACTAGATTTTTAATTATTGCAATTATTTATAATTATGCAAGTATCTTTTTTTCTTATTATTTTTTCTTTCTTTTGGGACAGAGTCTCGCTCTGTTGCCCAGGCTGGAAGTGCAGTGGCACAAACTTGACCCGCTGCAACGTCTGCCTCCCAGGTTCAAGCAATTCTAGTGCCTCAGCCTCCTGAGTAGCTGGGACTGCAGGCACGCAACACTACACCCAGCTAATTTTTGTATTTTTAGTAGAGACAGGGTTTCACCATGTTTGCCAGGCTGGTCTCAAACTCTTGACCTCAAGTGAGCCTCCAGCCTCAGCCTCCCAAAGTGCTGGGATTACAGGCCTAAACCACTGCGCCTGGCCAGTGCTTTTTATTTATTGGTGCAGATTCACATTAGTATTTATTTATTTATTTATTTGAGATGGAGCCTCGCTCTGTCGCCCAAGCTAGAGTGCAGTGGCGTGATCTCAGCTTACTGCAACCTCTGCCTTCCGGGTTCAAGTGATTCTCTTGCCTTAGCTTCCCGAGTAGCTGGCGCCTGCCACCACACTCAGCTAATTTTTGTATTTTTAGTAGAGATGGGGTTTCGCCTTGTTAGCCAGGATGGTCTCGATCTCCTGACCTCATGATCTGCCTGCCTTAGCCTCCCAAAGTGCTGGGATTACAGGTGTGAGCCACCGTGCCCAGACTTTGGTTAAATTTCTAGAGTTCTGAAAAAGTTTATTCTGGTCAATTTTTTGTTTGTGTGTATGTGCCATTTTTTTGGTTGCTGTTGCTTTTATGATGGGATGAATTTCTGGATGTCTTTATTCCACCATTTTCACTGATGTCACTTACAGCATGGTTTTAAATCTCTAAAGGCTCACAGGGCACGTGCCTGTATTCCCAGACGCTCGGGAGGCAAAGGAAGAAGGATCCTTTGAGTCCAGGAATTCTGGGCTGTAGCATGCTATGCTGATTGGGTGTCCTCACTAAGTTCAGCATCAGTATGGTGACCTCCCGGGAACAGGAGACCACCGGGTTGTCTAAAAAGGGGTGTACCAGCCCCATTCGGGAATGGAGCAGGTCAGAACTCCCATGCTGATCACTAGTGAGATCGTGCCTGTGAATAGCCACTGCTCTCCAGCCTGGCCAACACAGTGAGTGAGAATGTGTCCCTTAAAAAAAAAGTCTAATTGCCCATAGACTAATTAACTATTTAATCATGGGAAATGATTAGGGGAAAGACATAAAATCTTTTTTTGCTCTATCACCCAGGCTGGAGTGCAGTGGCTTGATCTCAGCTCACTGCAACCTCCGCCTCCCGGGTTCAAGCAATTCTCCTGCCTCAGCCTCCTGAACAGCTGGAACTACAGGCAAGCGTGGCTGTGAACTGCTAATGAGAAACTGTAATTCTCACAGAGGCCCTCCCAGAGGAGAAGAAGGTTGAAAAGGCATTTCTGTATTTAGTCTTCTCAAAATTAAGGCTGGGCCCAGTGGCTCTCACCAGCACTTTGGGAGGTCAAAGCAGGCGGATCACTTGAGATCAGGAGTTCAAGACCAGCCTGGCCAACATGATGAAACTCCCATCTCTACTAAAAACACAAAAATTAGCCAGGTGTGGTGGTCCGTGCCTACCGTCCCAGCTATTTGGGAGACTGAGGAAGGAGGATTACTTGAGCTTGGGAAGTGGAGGTTGCAGTGAGCCAAGATCACGCCACTGCACTCCAGCCTGGTCAATGGAGCGAGACCCTGTTTTGGTGGGGAGGGGAGGGGAGGGGAGAAAGGAAAGAAATAAAATAGAGAGAAAGAAGGAAGGGGGAGGGAAGGAAGGAAGGAAAAAGAGAAAGAAAGAGAAAGAATGAAGAACGAAAATAAAAATTTTTTAAAAAGTAAGGTTAAAGTAAACCCTTTTTCTTCATACAGATTGAACACACGAGTTCAAATCACAGCTTTGCTGCTTAATAGCTTGGTGACCTAGGACAACTTATATAACCTCTCTGTGCCTCAGTTTCCTCATTTAAAAATAGGGCAATAATATCTACCACATAAGGTTATCGTGAGGATTAAATGTGAAATGCTAATCACAAATACCTGGCAACCCAGTAGATACTCACCGTAATAATTATTATTTGAATAATTTCTGCAGAAGTACAATGATGATTCTTTGGTTAACCTAAAGGCAGATTTTCTATTTCTTCCTGTTTCTTTTCTTTTTCTTGTTCACTTTAAAGAATTAAAAAGAAAATCGATTCCAGCATTTTGGAATAAAAATTTGCATCAAAATCAATGTATTCATTTTATTGACATATAAACAGAATGTCATTTGTTTATTCAATAAACATTTGTTAAATGCCTAATACATTTCAGACATCATGCCAGGCACAGGGATGACAGGGCATGGTGGTGGGCACCTGTAATCCCAGCTACTCGGGAGGCTGAGGCAGGAGAATTGCTTGAACCCGGGAGGTGGAGATTGCAGTGAGCCGAGATTGCGCCACTGCACTCCAGCCTGGGTGACAGAGTGAGACTTCATCTCAAAAAAAAAAAAAAAAAAAATTGTGGTCTGTGCCCTCAAGGAGCTCATAGTCCGGGAGACTGACAAGTGGCAGGTGATTACATGCAATGTAAGAAAGACTGTGATGTCATACAAGAAGAAAGTGGGAGTATGGTTTTGACCAGTTCCTCCTGTTAGATTTATTCCTTTTTCTTTGGCTATAAAGCAAAAGAATTGGTCCTATTTTTTTTAACTGTGCAAATTAAACCATAAATTTTAAAAACTTTATAAAGATAAAAGACAAGCAGCCAGCTGCAGTGGCTTACGCCTGTAATCCTAACAGTTTGGGAGGTTGAGGCAGGTAGATCACCTGAGGTCAGGAGTTCAAAACCAGCCTGGCCAACATGGTGAAACCCCGTCTCTATTAAAAATACAAAAATTAGCTGGGCATGGTGGCGGGCGCCTGTAATCCCAGCTACTTGGAAGGCTGAGGCAGGACAGGAGAATCGCTTGAACCTGGGAGGTGGAGGTTGCAGTGAGCCGAGATTGAGTCATTGCACTCCAGCCTGGGCAACAAGAGCAAGACTCCATCTCAAACAAACAAACAAACAAACAAACTAAATAAATAAATAAATAAATAAAGAACAACTTGAATTGTGATGAGCAACTTAAATTATGGAGGACACTAGAAATAGTGTTTGCTACACAGTCAGGACTTCCTACCAACATAGTCACTTGTAGGGTTTTTGACCTGAAAAGTTCTGTGGCATATTTTTTCTTTGCTATCCACTTTTTTTTCCCTGGTAGTTCTTCCCCTTGTTCTCTCCTCTACTTTATCTTCTAGAGACCTGGGTAGTTCCCAGAGGAATAGCGCTTTATGGAGTCTAATGGTGATTGATTAGATAAAAACAGAAAACACCTTTTTCTTTTTTACCTACAAGTTCCATAGCAAAAAATGAATATAAACTTTTCATGCAGTTTCACACATTGAAAATGCAGGTTATTTGAATTCCATTCCATTTTTCAGAATTCTCTATTGCAATCCTCTCACCACTGTTGAAGATCCGTATCTCTTTAAATTGCCAGCATTAAAATATCTGTAAGTACTATAGTACTCTCATAAGTCATGAGATGATTTATGCTTTTTAAATTTTTATCAAAGCTTAAGTATTTTGCATTTAGGCTAAAATGTCATAATTTAAATTTTAACTGGGTTATTGAAAAAAAGTTATTGGCAAAGAAAAAATTAAAGAGAATGTATAATTGTCAAGACAGCAAGGGAAGAGAACAGTGTTGAAGAACCCATATAGATTTGGAACATGTAGACACATGGAGAAATATTATTTAACCAAGAAAACAAAGGGGAAAAGGTGTTCATTATTTTAAAAATGAAGAAAAGAGTAAATATGATGGTGAATGCAATATGAAAATGAGAAGATAATCATAAAAATGGTGTAAGCTCTGCTCTTGAATATCATTAATTTGATGATGCAAATCAACTTAAATTTCTCTAATAAGAGCTCCCTGGAATTCTACAACAAATAAACTCTTGAGCTGGCGTGTTTTATAGAGAAGCCAAAATTGAAGTAATCACATGTCCTTGAAATATCTTTTTAAGTACAGAATTTTTTACTGGGGTTCATATCATGAGTGTTTTGACTTTCTTCTTCAGAGACATGGGAACAATGCAAGTCCCACTTACAACACTTAAGAACATTCTCACGATGACTGTTGAACTGGAAAAACTGTAAGTTATTCTCTTCTTAGATTTATTTTCACTTAGTTGGTTCTTTAGGTTTGTTTTATTATTTTCTTAAGTCAGGTTTATTGAGGTGTAATTTTCATATACTAACATTCACCCTTTTCAAGTGTACAGTTTGATGAGTCTGACAAATGTATAGTTACATAACCACCACCACATTCCCAATATAAAGCATTTCTGATGCCTCAAAAAGGCCCCTCATGTCCCTTTGTAGTCAATCCCCTCCTGCCACCATCAGCCCCTATTAGCTACTAATCTGATTTCTGTTCCTATACTTTTTACTTTTGCCTTTTCCAGAATGTCTTATAAATGAACTCATATAGCATGTGTTTGGCTTCTTTCACATAGCTTTTTTTTTTGTTTTTTTTTGAGACATAGAGTCTCACTCTGTCACCCAGACTGCAGTGCAGCGGCATGACCTAGACTCACTGCAACCTCCGCCTCCCAGGTTCAAGCGATTCCTGCCTCAGCCTCCCGAGTAGCTGGGATTACAGGCGCATGCCACCACTCCTGGCTAATTTTTGTATTTTTAGTAGACTAGATTTCACAACGTTGGCCGGGCTGGTTTTGAACTCCTGACCTCAAGTGATCCGCCCGCCTCGGCCTCCCAAAGTGCTAGGATTACAGATGTGATCCACCTCGCCTGGCCTCACTCAGCATAAGATTTTTTGAGATATGCTACCATCCATGTTGTTGCACCTATCACAACAGCTGGCCCTCCATATCTGCAGGTTCCTCATCCATGGATTCAATTAACCATGAATGGAGAATATTTGGAAAAAATAAAATATATAAAACAGCAATAAAAACAGTAGAAAATTTAAAATACAGTATAATTATTTACATATCATTTACCCTGTACTAGGTATTTAAAGTATACCTGAGGCTATACACAAACATTGTCATTTCATATAAAAGACTTCAGCTGTGGACTTTGGTATCTGCAGGGGGTCCTGGAGCCAATCCCCTGCAGACACCGAGGGACAGCTGTTCACTCCTTTTTATTGCTGAGTAGTGTTCCAGTTGTGTGGAAACCCCATCTCTACTAAAAATACACAAATTAGCCAGGTGTGGTGGCCCACGCTGTGAATCCCGCTACTTCTGGGAGGCTGAGGCATGGAAGTGCTTGAACCTGGGAGGTGGAGGTTGGCAGTGAGCCGAGATTGCACCACTGCACTCCAGCCTGGGCGACAGAGTGGGACTCTGTCTCAAAAAAAAAAAGTAAAAAATAAAACTGTTTTCTGAAGAGCAGAAGTTTTTAATTTTGATCAGCTTTAAATAAGCAATTTTTTCTTAAATGGCTTGTGATATTTCGTTTCTTACCTAAGAAATCTTTAAGAACCTGTTGTCTAATCCAATGTCAAAAAGATTTTCTCCTCATTACATATACAACTCCTCAAACATATACAAGTCCTCAAACATATACAACTTCTCCCAGAAATTGTATATGTTTAGGTCTATGATCCATTTTGAGTTAATTTGCATATATTATGTGAGGTATCTTTTTTTTTTCAATTTTATTTTTATTTTTAATTTTTTTGTAGAAACGAGGTCTCACTATGTTGCCCAGGCTGGTCTCAAACTCCTGGTCTCAAGTGATCCTCCTGCCTCACCCTCCCAGAGTGCTGAGATTACAGACATGAGGCACTGTGCCTGGCCTTCTCTGCAGGTTATATATATATATATGTCAGCCAGGTGTGGTGGCACACGCCTGTAGTCCCAGCTACTAGGGAACCTGAGTCAGGAGGATCACTTGAACCCAGGAGGTGGAGGTTGCAGTGAGCCAAGATAGCACCACTGCACTCCAGCCTGGGTGACAGAGCAATACCATGTCTAAAAAAAAAAAAAAAAAAAGGTCTTGCAGGGCCCTATTGTGCGTTTGTTACACAATTTCCTGCCACTTAAGTGGTGCCACTACCCCACCATATGGCAAGCTAAATAGAAACTCAGTTATGCTAAGGCTCCTTGAGGGCATTATAGAAGATTAGCATGGAAAGGGCCCTTCATTTCGCACTCTGCTCCATTCATTTTTGTCAGGTCACTCTCTTATCTTCACCACATTGTCAGATCTGTTTTACTGCTCTAGCCTCACTTCCCTCAGCCTCCTGCAGCTTCTTCCCTGTCAGCTAGATCCCTTCCTCTCTGGATGAAGTCCTCTTCATCGACCAGCTTTCTCACTTGGTTCTCTAAGACAGTGAGGATCTGTCTGCTTTTTTCTTGACCATTAGTGGATAGGAAAAAAGCTCTCATTCTCTGTAACCATTTGTCACCGAGGCCATAAAGACATTGAACTAACTGCCTTATGGGAGTTCATTACTGGAAGTCTTCAGGAGTTTACACATTGATATACAAAGTAAGTAGGCCAGCGCATTTGAGTCTTGGCTCATGTGTAATGATCTTTAATGCATATTGAAAAATTATTCTCAAGTAAGGATAGCATACACCTCAGGTCATTTACAGTCTCAAAGGTTTGTCAGTATACTTAAAACATTCCTGGGAACAGTTCTAGATTGAAGGAGACTAAAGAATCATAAACACTAAGTGCAATGTCTGATGTTTGACTGGATTCTGAATTTGTTTAAGCCATGTTATGACTGGGACATTGTGAAAATGTGTATATGGACTACATAGTAAACAATGATAATATTAAGTTCCATTGGGTGATGATAGTATTCTGGTTATGTAGGAGAATGCCTTGGTTCTTAGGGGCTGCACACTGAAGTATTTAATGGTGAAGGGTCATTATGTCTGCAACTGACTCTCAAATGGCTTGTCCAGAAAATGTATTAGACACACACACGGAAAGCAAATGTGGCAAAACATAACAATTGTTGATTCTAGATGAAAGTTATACAGGTGTTCATTATACCATTTGAAAATGCTTTCCAGCCACCCTAAGGCTTAAAGGAAAAAAATAAAACCTTTAAAATAAAAAGTTGGGGGCAGAAAAAGAGTAACAAAACCTTTGGACTTGTGCCTGTAATCCTAGCACTTTGGGAGGCCAAAGAGAGAGGGTTGCTTGAGCTCAGGAGTTCGAGATCAGGCTGGAGTACATGGTGAAACCCCATCTCTACAAAATATACAAACATTAGCCAGGCATGGTGGCACATACCTGTAGTTCTAGCTACTCAGGAGGCTGAGGTGGGAGGATCACTTGAGCACAGGAGGCAGGGGCTTCAGTGAGCCAAGATTGCACCGCTGCACTCAGCCTGTGTAACAGAGTGAGACTCGGCCTCAAAACAAACAAAAGAAACACCTTTGTGTCAGAGTTAAGGTTGCTGTATAATAAAATGCTGGGGTACGGTTCTGGGTCCAGTCCACATGAAGATCAGAGGCTTCCACTGGACCCAAAGGAATAATACTAGTCACTTGTGATTATTCCTCTATAAGGTTTGAAAGATGTATCAGGCCAACTTAATGGATGCAGTTTTAATCTAAAACTCTATACATTGTACCCCCAACTCATAGGCTTCATGTATCCATGAAACACTCTTCTGTCTCCACAGTCTTAATGTGGCCCTAATAAAGCCACCCTCTTGGAGGACTCAGAAAAGGCCCCCCACAACCTCTGCAACATAATAATTATAGTAGTTAACTGCTATTGAGCACTCACTGTGTGCCAGGCATTTTTCAGGTATTGATTCATTTAATTCTCAAAACTCATTAGAGGTAGGTACTATTATAATGACTAGGTCGAGGAACAGAGATTAAGCAATTTGCCCAAATTCATATTATTAGCGGAGCTGGGATTTAAGCTTAGTCTGGCTGTGGAATCTGTATTCTTAATGACCATGCTATACTCCCTGAGATTGACCTTTTACTCCAGTTACAGGGATTGTCTTTATCTCTCTGAAACTGCCCCCAATAAGCCATAACAATAAACTAATCAATTGTCTTGGTTATCTCTTCTGCCCAAATTTACATTTTGAAAAAAATTTAAACATACCAGAAAGATGAAAGAATAGTACAAAATCCAATTGAAGATCAGGCACTGCATGTCATGTCTTCATTTCCTTTAATCTAAAACATTCCTCTACTTTCTTTGATCTTTCATGACATTGGCATTTTTTAAGAGTCAAAGATAGTTGTCTTGTAAATGTCCCACAATCTGGATTTGTCAGTTTCCTCATTTTTTGGGAAAAATACTGCATAGGTAATGTATCCTTCCTGCCTCGTAACCGCAGATCGCCTGTAATACTAAATTTGATCACTTGATTAAGGTGATCTTCCAGATCTCTCCATTGTAATTATTTTGCTGGCTGCAGTGGCTCACACTTGTAATCCCAGCACTTCAGGAGGCCAAGGTGGGAGGACTGCTTGAGTCCAGGAGTTCTACACCAGCCTGAGCAACATGGTGAAACCCTGTGACTCTTCTTAGAAGTCTACCTTCTTCCTGTGTACTTTCAGCCCAAAGTGAGACTTTGGAGTTGGGAAGAAATACTTCTGAATTAAACTACTGATCAGTGTCACCCAATTCTAATCCCAACCACCTTTATTCTAGGCATACCGTACTCACTGCCATACTTACTGTTCGGTTGGGTACCTTTGCCCTCCTTCCTATTGGCCTTCTAGTTCCTACCCAACTGTCCAGTCCACAGGCCTCAGTAACACCTTTTCGCCCAGCCCTGTGGTAGCGTTGGCCTGCCTCCTTTACCTTCTCAAGTAACTGCTTTAACACTAATTTATTGTTTTGTGTTTTTATCTGTAGGATCTTACCTAGCCGTATGGCCTGCTGCCTCTGCCAATTTAAAAACAGCATTGAGGTTTCTGCAAGACAGTCAAGCTGCATTGCAACAGTGCATGTCTGACAAACACCATACATTGTCGTGAGTCCAAATTGCCTGGTGATCAATTGTTACATTATTTTAAGTATTTGTTTTTAAACGTTTTATTTTTAATGATGATAAAATTGTAAGTTAATGATATAATTGCTTTATTTTATTTACTCATTCAGAGTTAAACTCCCTCAATTTCTGAACTATTCCCTTGCTGAGAGTCAGGTTCTCAGTTATTATTACAAAATTTAATAATAGAACGGTTCCATATGCACAAAGGACCAAGACAAAGGAATGGGAAGACTAGGGAATAACATTAACATCCACACACTGTGTACTGTGCTCTCTGCTTGGTGCTTTGCCTCCAGTGACAATTTATTCATATAGTGCAATGTAGTTTGTAAACTGGTTTTATATCCATGGGGTCTCAAGTACTCTCTGCCTTACAGGACAGATGTAGATCTGGTTTTGATTTTTTTGTTTTTACAGGTTTATAAGAGTACAAGTGATGCTGTTTTATTTGAAGCCTGAGAGTTTCTGGTTCCATAACCAGAAATTGCTACCTGGCTCTTCTAATGGAATGGAGGGCTTTTCCATGCTTAGACCATCGAACACTGAACTTGCTCTGAATTCAAACCTTTCCATTCACAGAACAAATGCTCAAGTGCTTTCAGGAGTGTTTCTGTAGATTAGGTTTATTAGCACCAACTTCATGACTTCTAAAATGTGACTGCTTTCATGTCCAGATAGCTTGAATACAGGTATCTATGAGTGATATGGGGTGGATAATTAATAATGCTTGGCTACTTATATAAAGACAGTGTTGCTTATTTTTCAAAACTTTTTTTTTTTTTTTTTTTTTTTACCAATTATATTCTTCCCTTCTCCCCAAGAGGTGGGCAGAACAGCATTGGTAATCTCCTTTTACAGATGAGGAAAAACAAGATCAGAGGTGCTAAGTGCTGTACCTTGTGCCAGGTCTTCTGTCCCAATTCTGGGTATTCCCCAAGCCCATGTTTCTCCTTTCTCACAATCTTTACTTCTTCCTCTGACCCTCAGCACCACCCAAAATACTTTTAATTCTGGAAAAGAAAGCCAGCTGCACACGGGCACACTTGACCTTCATGCAGTCAGAAGCTTTGGATGGTTCCCCATCCAGAATATTAGAGATAAAATGAAAGCAAAGTAGGCAACTGATAAAAGTTGCTTTTTCCCTTCTGCATTTTAGGTCCTCAAGTAATGTTTATCGAGAAACTGCTGTCATACCATAGATTCATTGTACATTCAACAACATAAGCATAGCATACAATCTGGCAAATTAAAAATCCCTTAACCTACACCCTGGATCCCTGTCCAAATTTAAGAAAAGAATTAGGGTGGACACGGTGTTTTTTCCATGTCATGTCTTCTGTGATGGGGCTGCGATATGTGGGAGCAGAGAATGGGGTGGGTGGGTGGAGCGTGTGCCAGATGAGGATCTATCAGCAATGGGAGGGGCTCTCCAAGTTAGCATCTCCACCCTGCTCCTCTCAGAGGACCGCCTTCCATTGCATTCAGCTGTGATGGTAGCAAGAACACGGGTACACTGAGGACAAGGAGAGAGGGAGCCTTGTGCTCTCTCTCTGCATGTGAGGCAGGACAGCACAGGGTACGGAGCAGTCTGCAGAGAGGCCAGCTCATCAGGGAAGCACTTGTCTTCCACCTTGGGCTTTGACTGAGCACTGGGCAACTGGCCCCTGGGGATCAATGGAATAATCCTAAGCAGAGTTACTCTGTCACACTATGGAATGTTCCAAGTAGGTGGCCATGTTTTCAAAAGATGTCTTTTCTCCTTTTGTTGTTGCCGTTTCATAGGTTTAGGATTGGGTGTGTGTTTCTCCTCTCTGAATGGCACTCGAATGTTTGCTGACTCCTACTCTGTGTGACTGGGGCGTACAGCTGTGGACTGATGCATGCTGTCCCATCATCTTTCATGATCAAAACAGTCTCTTCTTTTTTCACAACTGAAGAACTGTCTGTAGGGAATCCAGAAGGAGCGTTCATGAAGGTGTTACAAGCCTGGAAGAAGCACACGAGCACTGAGTTGACTATTGAGCCGGAAACGCCCTCAGACAGCAGTGGCATCAACTTCTCCGGCTTTGGGAGTGAGCAGCTAGACACCAATGACGAGAGTGAGGTTATCAGTGCACTAAGTTACATCTTGCCGTATTTCTCAGCAGGAAATCTAGATGCAGAATCAATATTGTTACCGTTCACTAAACTGCTTTTTGCAAATGTGCAAGATCGCGATAGGCCCCTGAGTATTTTGAAAAACAATACAAATAGCCCTTCTCTTCAACCTGCATCCAACAACTCAACTTATGAAAATAAATTGAGAAAGCTATACTTGCTGGAAAATATGTTAGATGCAGAAATACAGGAAAAAATCAATGAAGTTAAAAGGGAAGAAAAAACTGCCATGCTTATGCAGACCAGCCTTCTAGGTAACAAATTTAAACGCCAATTATTTGAAAAGAAATTAGAAACTGTCCAACCACAGGAAAACAGCCTGGCAAAGATTCAAAGTGAAGGCA